ACAGTTACTGCTTTTAAAAATACACCCCTCTCACCTGAATTCACAGGGCAACTCAGCCTCTGAATTAGCCCACCACTTTTGTGGTTTCTATGCCAGAGGTCTGTGCTTTTCCTTTCATGAAACCGTGGTTGGTTATCCATGAATACAAGGTCAAAAAAATTGGTAAGGAAGACAGATTTGGTTAAACATACTTTTGGAGTACTTGTGCTGCTACTTTCTACAAATCATTTTGCTACACTGGACATGTTTGGGCATTTCGAGTCTCAAAAAAATCTTGTCCATTGCATCTAGGTCTTATTTAAGTATTGCTTCCCTTTTTGTGAGTATCTCTGCAGAGACAAGTTCTGAAATCCTTCTTATCGTCATCTCATCCAACCCAAAATGTGTGCCTTGTTTTTCAAACACAGTCTCTGAATACATGTACATCAAAGAGCAATGGCAATAAACAATACTGTTATGTGAACAAAAATATGTAAAGTTGCTGAATAAGTAATGTAGGAAACTTTACATGTATTTTAGACCAAAATTACTGAAAGTATTTACAGTCTATCACTTGGTATGTGGACACACTCTGAAAGATGTTTCTGACAAGTAAAAATTACGATAAAAATTATTTTTGGCAAGGTTCTCTGGTTTTGGTTTTTCTGAAAGAACATAGACAGCAAATTCTGTTACTACACTCTACAGAAGTAGATATGCATATGTATGTTTCACAAATTTTAAAGTGTTCATAATATAAAAAACTCCGGAAATTTGCTCTGGATTCAAAACCACCATTAGGCCATGGGTCAGGCATATTTTTACCACACAGATCTTGTTTCATTAATTCCATACAATGTGGGAAACTGGGACTTACGTACATCTCATTCAGTTAAGGAGCCCTGATGAGCCAGTGCTGCTTTTTAACACTAAAAATACTTGAAAGAGAAAACTAGAAATATCTATTATACTTTATCGCATCACATAAAACCAGTAAGCACACCCTCACTTAAATCTATTGACACGTTCTTGAAAAAATACTTACCATTTCTCCATCAAGTGGGTCATAAAATCTCTCGAGCAGCTGAACAACAGTGCTCTTTCCACAGCCACTGCTACCAACAAGAGCCAGAGTTTGTCCCTTTTCTACTTTTAGATTCAAACCCTGGAGGATTTTGACCTCTGGTCGGTTTGGATAGTTAAATGCCACATCTTTGATGGTTATGTTTCCCTCAAATGTTTCCTGGAATTAAAAGAGCATCACTGTTACATGTGAAGGAACAAGATTCAGGATGGGAGCGGTTCCAGGCGTGGAGAAAGACATACAGCAATTGACAGGACTTTAGTGTATGGACTTTACTGTTATTAATTATGTGGTTTCATTGTATCCACACTACACAGTGCACAGCCTGGGCATACCCGGGCTTGCCACGAGTTTGCCTGCTCCCTGCTTTCCCGCTCCCCTCTCCGATAGGCTGCAGAAGCTGCAGAGAGGACACAGTTACCATTCGCCCTTTCCTTCCCCGGTTCCTCCCATGTTCCTCCCCCTTTGCCTGTGTCCCTACCCTGATTTGTTCCCCCGTTTGTCTGTCTCATGCTCCACCCCATGTTCTAGCCCTTTCCCCCCTGAACCCATAAAACCTCAGGACACCTCAATGAAGTATTCCATTTGCAGCTCTGCCTTGTCTCTGGACCTGTCTGTGCTGTGTCACGGCCCCATCCCCCCTCGGACCGCAGCAGTTACATCTTTAAGACAATTTCACAGATGATTCTAATAGAATTGCAGAAGTATTTACTCCCCTCCCCGAAATCAATAGGGGTTTTCAAAACAAATGACCTTTTGCCATTATGAGCAAAAGCTGGACTCACAATAGAGAACTTGGTCTATGTTGTGTTCAGATAAAGTGTCAAGAATGCATTGGGAAAAGGATGTAATCAGGAGAGGAAAAATCAGTTTGAGGGAAGTGAGAAGAGTGCTGTTCATATTACCAACAGAAAATATCACCCATTACACATGGCTTACTTACAGGCTTCTGTCCTTCCTCACTGTAACTATCTATTGAGGGCACTCTTTCAAACAACTGAAACAGGTGGGCTGCTGATATCTTGGCTTTAGCATAGTCTGGAGCAAAAGAGCTTGTTTGTCCTAAGGCCATTGCACCAAATACAACAGCTGAAAACACTCTACAAAAGAAATCAGGAAAAAAAATAATCAATAGACAATGGAGAAGAGGACAATGGAAATGAGGCTGCAGCCAACTTTTTCTTTCACTCAGAGAAAAAAGAGGGCTAAATTTAGAAAGAGTAAAGTAGTAACCAACTATTATTGGTTCAATTACTCATTTAGCTCCAGAAATTCCCTTTTTCACCCTCTTTCAATGATGTGAAATAAACATGTCTGCATTCTAAATTCAGTATTTGCATTACTTATTATCACTAATTTCTTTAGTTATTAATACTGATTAAGTATATTAAATCTCAGCTGGGGCTATAAGGAAAGGGTCAATGGATTGCAAAATTGTTACTCTAATCCTGCTATTGCTATGGTTTCCTCTCTATGGTTCCTTGATTTTTGGGAGTTAGTGATCTATTTTTAAGGCATCAACGAAAATAAGAAATCAAGCCTGTAACAAGGTGACAATAAAGATTTAATTTTCTATCACAGCTCTGATGGAAAAAATAGCATGATTTACAATACTGAAATGGGTTGAAAACTATGCTATTATTGCTTTGTGGTGATTTTTATGTAATTTTATGTGATTTTACAGGCTACATTAGAATAGTTTAAGAACCTGCTGTCTTCAGCTATTAATTACTGCCACACAACTGATGATTACTCATCACTGAGAAGTGGTATTTGACATATGAGATATATGAGACTTCTTTTAAAGCAAAGTAAAATGGATTCATTTATTTTAATTTTTGTTTTTTTTTCTCTTCAGAGCTCATAAAGTAATCTGTTTTATTCTGCATTTAAACAGCCTAGGAGAGCTCACACAATTTTAGGTCAAACAATCCCTTTCAAGTCTGACTGAGCCACTGGAAGTCCACTCAGTCAGCTGACTAGAGACATTCAGCTAGCAGATGGGATGCAGGCACTTTCCAACATCTTCCAGTCAAAATGAGCTGTGTTTACCACAATTAGGTTGCCAACAAAAAATTGGTATGATTTTTTGACCTTCTTGGGTATTGAGGTCACTGATATCTATACTGGTAGAATCTCAGTCTTTTCAAACTTGTTTACGCAGCCCTGTATTGAGTTATTGTCTCTTAAATAATAAAGGATTCTTCTGGATAGACAGAAAAAATATTGCAAATGTGATACTTACAAAAACACGTTTTTATACTCCATGTGTCCATTTGCCACTAGATAGGCACCAAACCGGAAACAACCAGCATAGGTAAAGAACATCATTGCTTGTGAAAGGGCAAAACAAAAGCCAAATATATGTGCCTTCTTCACAGAATTTCTGTAAGAAAGAATGCACATTTTCATCAAAGTGTGCAATCATACTTAAGTTCTAATATGCAAATACCAACTGACTTCAGTTGATACTGTTATGAATGGAAAGTGTAAATACACTGAAGCATTAACTAAGAAACATATCTCTGTCTCTTCCAGACAAACTGACCCATAGAGCAATAACTTCTTTTTTATACTAGAACAACAGTAAGATGGAAGTCTCGGAGAAATCCCATCAATGTCAACCCTGAGAATGGTTAGGCACTGTTCTGAAAGTTGTGAGATGTGAACTCAAAACCCAGCAGCCTGAGGAAAAAGCTATGTAATATGTTTTATGTCCTGCACTGTGCTCTAGTCACTCAATTATTATGGTTGATGTGTTAGTGGCATCCTCACAAGTCTCTTAATATATCTGTGTACAGAGGCTGTCATTTCCTTTACTTTTCTCATGAATATCTGAAAATGAAACATTCCCTTCTAGAATAAATAAAACTTTCTTTGAAAGAATCTTTTTAGTTTTTCACTTTAAGACTTTTAAATTTTTATTTAGCCCAGGCAGATTTATATTACTTTTTTTTCAGCTACAAACCAATAAGCAATTACTCAAATATTTTCAGTCCCACTAATACTTTAAAAAATGGCAGAAGGTAATATTCAATTTACATTAAAAAGCTTTTAATTAAATATCAAAAACACTTCAGGTGGAAATTCAGATTAGATCACTTCCAAAGCTCACTTAAAACTAACATTTTTCCAAACCAAGTGATATTGTAATAGAAAATACCAATATTATAAAGAAAATTAATTAAATCAAGTTTAAAAAAAAGTCAGCTGGTGGTGGTTGTGTTTGTTAATAAAAAAATATGCAAAATATTTACATTAATTTTGAGGTAATTAAATTATACATTAAATCATACACACTATCAAAAAAAATCTATTTTTGTTGAAGTAAATATGTGCAATTTATTACAGATTTTTTTTTAGCTTAGTTATTTTTATTATACCTGTATGGTACAATCAAATGTTCTCCATACATCAACTCAAATTTTCTTTCTCGGGTCAAGCTAACAACAGTTCTAATATTTTCTATTGCTTCTGTGGCAATCTGCAATAGAAACACAAATGTTTTAATCAAAAGTTAAGATTGTGTTGCAATTTCTTATCCTAAACTAATAAAACAATTCTGTTGGAATGTAATTTTATATTTTTTATACTGGTTATTAAAATCATGAACGTTTGATATCAAAAATAATAATTTTACATTTTTTTTTTTATGACAATGAGATTTTCTTACAACGCTCAGAATTTTCTGATAAGACCTCTTTAATGTCCTACAAATAAATGGTGAGAAACCATTAGGCAGCAATGACAAGTATGGAGAAGCTATTCAACAAGAAAAATGGGGTATGAGCATTCAAATTCCAGTCCACTGAGTTTGGGCTACAATCAAAATGTCCAGGTTGCTTACGTGCCTTAGAGCCTAACTTAGATCTCAGCAGTAAATATTTGACCTGAACAATAATACATTCTTTAATCTTGCAGATATGTAGACTCGAGTCATTTGTATGCACAAAGGTACCCAGCAACATCTGAAGCCAATAAATGTGTGTCTATATGGGAGTAACAGATTCGAAGCTTTTACATAATCTGTTAAGACTATGGAGGTGCCCACAAAGTCTTCCTCAGTGACCACACAGTGAGGCTAGGAACCTGTGTGGTCTATTTAGTCCATATTAATGTAGAATGGATGATGCTTAGAAGTGACCAACAGATGACACCTGGAATAACCACATCTCTTCAGACCCTGGAACAATGCTGCATCCCTCTGTTCACCTCTGGATGAAACATTGGGCTTGAGTGCACAACCTACATAGCCTCCCATGAAATATGTGTTAGACTGAGTATTCCAGTTGTCCTGAAATCCTGTTGCTCTGGGAGGGCACATGTACTGTATTATAGTTGACAGTCCCACAGGGATGGATATTTTCAATTTCCTAATGCATCTCAAATGTTATTAAACAGCTATATCTAAGCTCTATTCAGCTGCCAATCAGTCTCATTTCTAAGGATGGGTATTAAGCAGGACAGCTGATTTATGAGCACAGATACAGTACAAATGCAAAGTAATGTCTTTTTTTTACCTCAGAACTGTACATACAGCAGGAAAGGAATATGGGCAATACCAACAACAATTTACCTCGACTTTTGGAGGCATTGTATAAAAAAATCATTGTCCTGCTGTACTCAGCACTGGTGAGGCTGCACTTTGAGTACTCAGTTCTATTTTGGGCCCCTCACTTCAAGAAGGACATTGAAGTGCTGGACCATGTCCAGAGAAAGGCAACAAAGATGATGAAGACCTTCAGGGCTTTAACATATTTTGCTGAAATATACATTTAATGCATCATGGTTTGAGTCTAATAAAGACCATAAAGTAAGGTTTTCAGTAACTTAAGTTTGGCAGTCCTTTGCAGAATGCAAATTTCCAGGTAAAACACCATTTTTTCTCAAAAAAATCCTGATTTTTTAAAAAAATGAAAATTTAATAAAATTCCTGTAGTCCAGTCCTTGCTTAGGTGGCCTTGAGAGGGGAAACTCATACATTTCTATGAAAAGTAAATATTTTTTTAAGTTTTGTAAAAATGTCATAAATATTTGTAACACCTGTGGTAATTCTTTGCAATCTGCGGCATTAAAAAAGTCTTTAGTGCCTATTCCAAGAATTGTCAATTTTTTTCTGTCATATCTTACAATAAAACTACATTAAATAAATGTTCAGCCATTAGAGAGGAGAAGGAGAAGAAATGTAGTCAGTTGGAAGGAAAGGAATTGCATTCTTTGGCTTGTATGAAAAAGCCCATGGAAAGATCATTCTGCACAATTTCCTGTGGAGGGACAAAAATGTTTTTCAGCAACTTAATCTACAGACATGATGGAAGGAAGGAAATAAACCTCATTTAGTAAACAGGAGTTACTGGGAGGGTCAATGGATACCTATTCAACATAACCAGAAAGCAATTCATCTGTCTATGCACGGTGAGCCTACTCAGTCTGCTTCTCCAAAATCATTGATTGGAGTGGGAAGGACTCTAATCTAGTTGCCTACATGCAGGTGACTTGTGTCCTTGGAGATGGTCTAGGATACTCAAAACATTTGGGTAAAGCATGGCAGATACAACATAGAGCATAGAGTAGACCCAGGCCCTTCTGAAATGGCAACTGGAGGCCACCCAACTCTATGGCACCTCAAGTAACTACAAGATGACATTACACTGCTAGAACACATGCAGACACATATATTTAAACACCAAATCTGAATAATTATACTACTCCTTATGTGCATGGTCTTAGATAAATGATTTTCCTCTCAGTTTAAAAACAGTAGGACATAGGAAGAGATTTTAGAAAAGTTTTACCTTGAAGAAAGCAATTATCTGGGAAGTGATGAAATAGTTGTTCTGTCCCAAAAGAATTTTTGGAATGAAGTGACATTAAATGCCTTCATTTAATTTGTTAAACAAGAGTCTAGCCTTCTTACTTTTCAGTTCTCATCTTTCTCTTCCACTCAAGAAAGAAAGGAATGGCAAACAGACTCAGAAACCAGTGGGTATATACATATTATCCCTGCAAACACCAATAAGATGAAGGAGGGGAAAAAAAAAGAGCAATATAATAAACATAAGACAGATGACATGCCAAAAAGGGATGACAGGGGAAAAAAAACAAATGAAAGAGAATGTCAAAATGAAGAGTGTTGCAAAATAAAGGAAAACAAAGATGATCAGAACAGGAATGAGAAAAGAATGTGCCTAAATAACATTTAGCACATTCAGGGATTTATCAGTTATAAATATATATATTGGTTAATAACATAATTCTTCAATTATTATTGAAGAGGTGTGATGCTCTGTAGGTCTACTAGTGTAACTACATGGAGTTTAGGCTGTCTGTGGAAGTTATATATTATGAATTGTTCTGTATTTGGAAGTAATACATCCAGTAACAATACTTTGGTAAACATGACTGTATATATTATACAGAAATAGATACATTTCTCTAAACCCACCTTTCCTGCAGCTTCCAGCTCTTTTTTGTCTTTCTTAGCATGCCCAGCCAACATCTTCATTTCAATCATTCCTGCCACTGCAATGATGGGCACAACAGCTAAAAGTAGCAGGGTCAGCTGCCAGCCATATATTAATGATATAATAATTCCAGTCCCCAGGTTGGCTATGTTTTGGGCAATTAATGCTAGTCTGACACCAGTTGCCTGGAAGAAGAAAAAAGGCATTTCTTACTAAAGTAACTGTGATTTAAATAAGAAAAGCATTTTCACACACAATATTCCTGATTCTCAAGGCACTATTTAAAAAGTCTTAACTCAACTTTTTCAAAATAGGAGTTTCTTAAATGCTTTTGTATAAAAATACCTAGATCACATTTATTTCTTCTTTTCCCATGTGCTGATTACTTAAATGTACACCACAATTTCTAAATTCTGCTCTTCAAGCTGAACAAACTTTAACCTCCATACATATTCACATGTACATCTTCACCTTCACATTAAAATCACTCATATTTTGTAGATCATACACTTACTTTATAAGTCATCACACAAAGCCCAATGAAAAAGAAAATTAAATGTTTAACTTCTCCAATAGAAATAAAGCCAAAGATACTTCAGAATTCTTCAGTTCAGAAAAAAAACCACCTCGTAACTTCTTGGAGAAGTAAAAATTTACTTAAGCATACACAAACAATTCCATTCAGTGTACCTTGGCTAGGTATTACAGACCCCTGAAAATCCACAATTTATTTTTAAAGAAACTCCAAAATAAGAGGAAAGAAAGCCTATTGCTTGCATATTTTTTTTTTTAAATTAAGGAATCTGTGTCATCAGAAAAGTAGCAGGAGGTCCTAAGCAGAACAAATTTAGATGCATGTCTTTAGGTGAATAAAACCTCTTTAAACGGATTTCTTAGATAAGAGATTCCCAATAGATTTGTTTAATAATGAAGATCACAATACAGCACAATAGTAAACTTTAGAAAAGGTTTACTTGGAAATTGTTTTGTAAACGTATATTATCATTACTGTTATAATGCATTCTCTGTGCATTCTCTACCAACTATTGCATTATAGTAAATTTTAGTTGTCAAAGTTGAGACTATTATCAACCAGTCACACCCAAGCTGCAACTTTGCTATATGCTAAACCAAATATGAAAAATACCAAACCAAAATTTTACTTACTCCTTTCACTTGTGAAGCATCATTAGCAAGTCTTGTAGTTAGTGCTCCAGTGCTATTTTTTGGATTATCAAACCAGCCCATATCCTACAATAAGAAACATTATGTTTAAGAGCAGTGTTTGGACATTTCATATAAACTGCAAAGTAAATCTAAGGTCTACCTAATACAACTGGGTTCAGTGTCAGAAGACTCTGTATGTGGCCATGCCTCAGTTCTGCATATTTAATTAAGTTTAATTCCTTCATTAATTGTTGGGGTCAGGTACACAGTTTATAATTTATTCACCATGTGACCCAGTATCTGATTTAAAATGTCATCTGTAATGTGCATTGAATTAAGTCCTGGTAAAGTGTTACTGGCATTTCTGACCTCAAGGCTCAATTGAAAGATTGCTTTTTCATTAGATTTGGAGTATGGCTGATCTGTAAGTCATAGTTTTGCAGACTACAAGAGTTTTCTGTCGCATTGCAAATAGTCACATTGACATGAATCAAATTCTGTGTCTACATGTAGCTTTATGAGCAAGAATAAAATCCCATAACTATTCTATTGCATATTTCAAAGTCTAAAATACTGATCCTGAAATCATGCAAAATTAAGGCTGTCTTAGATACCTACATGAATTACTTTAAAACATTATGAAATATTTATATTTTAATTCTCTGAAAGTGGCTTTAGATTTCAATATGCAATCTTATTATTGTGTTAACAAACAAAAATTATGGATTTGGGGGCTCCTTGACAGAGACTTCTAATTTATAAACAAAAACATGTCTATACATACCACACTTTAAATCAGACATTTGAAATAAGAGTTACAATGTAAGCTGTGTTGCATTTCTTTACAGGAGAAAGGGTACCAAGAAAACAAAGCAGGCAAACAAACAGATAATGGGGTACTGCTGGTGCACATCAGCTTGTGGAGCTGTAGTAGCTTGGCTGTAAATCTTAGTCCTTGCAAGGAGCACTTAAAAAGCTCTTGTATTAACTTAAGACCCTTCTTCTAAGGATACTTTGCTTAACCACATGTAACTAACCAAATTGATTTAAAAACTGATTTAAACAATTATCTCTGTAGACAAGTCCTAATATGGTAGAACGATGTATTATACAGTTATTTTATACAAATACAGTCAACAATTATACCAATTATATAATTCTACCAATTATTATTATAATTATACCAATACAATTAATTATTTTGTTACATTTAATGATTAAATTTTAATTATTAAATTGAAAATTTTAATTTAATTGTTAATTATTAAATTACAATTATCACATTGTTATAAAAATAATTGCATTTAATTATAATTAATTGTTTTTAAAACCCCGAAGTTCAAAATATTTATTATCTTTACCTGTCTAAGCATTGCTTTAAATGCCATGAATCGAAGCCTCATTGTAAGAATTTCTCCAGATTTGCCAAATGTGAAACCCTATTTCAGAAAAGATACAATGCTTAGCATACTATTACAGTGTTTGTGTTTATTCAATAAATGTTTTAGATACATCGTCTCTATAACGTCAAGGCACAAAATCTTGCAGTCCTGTTTGCACAAAGCACATACAAAACCACGTTTAATATGCATAAATTCTAGCAGGCTCACAGAACAGACATTCAAATATTCTTTCTGAAAATAATACAGGCAGCATAGGAATATTTCACCACCATGCTTCAAGGAAAATCAACCCTTTGACTTCATTTGTATGAATTGACCTAAGTCAGATTTAAAGAAGTAGCATTTAGGCCATTCATTTTAAGTCAACAATAGTAGGGCAATCTGGATTCACTGAAGTCAAACACATCACTCATATTTAAAACATTGTCTGAACATTTATAAACTGAGCAAACCTATCATAGCCATATACAACTCAGTCTTCTGTACTCAAGGCCTTCTTGCAAGACAATCCCATAAATAAATCAGAAGGTTTTTGCAAGACTGTTTATACTGCTGTCCCAAG